AGTTTGTGGAGCTGCTTGCTTGGAGAGGGCTTTCATGTGAAATGCTTTACTACTGTATACAGAGATCCTTTCAGACTTTCTATCGTAATACTAGTTTAGCCTTTTATGGAAGTCATAGACTAAGTAGTCATAATGTGCATGTTCTTATATTCTTAGGTTCTTCTTGCTGTTGCCTAAGGTTATAGGGGCAACTAAAAATCTTAACTTTTCAGTTATTTCAGTTAAGTATATTCCTTGCATATCTTATTAAACTCCTACCCACTTAAGAGAGGGAACAGGTACTACCAAATAAGTTGCTAGCAGTATTAGTATCCAAAAATCAATCTATGAGACGTATGGATTTGGAAAAATGTTAGGAAAATAAGTCATAGCCAGTTAGAATTGGTCAGCTAGAACTGGCAGTCTTCAGAAGCTGGAACGGAGTCTGGAGACAGTGGACATGAGTATTATGGAGCAGAAACGTTTGCTTTGTAAACTGAGCTGCTTATTACTTTATGTGTGTATTGAGAGGTATGTGGGATGTTTTGTCTTTGTCCTGACTCTAACCTGGAAGTGGCCACTTTCCAGTTCAGGATTAAGATTCTTCACACTTAAACATACTTAGATTAATTATTTGTTTTGGGATGTGGCAGGGCAGAGGAGTGGCATTTAGAGTGATTTCCTTTTTAAGTAAACGTCTGTAGTGCCCTGGAGCAACCTATCGGCATTACAGACTTTTATGTAGGAAGTAAATATGTTTGTGCATAGGACTCTTGTTTGTAGTGACTGACTTACCTTTTCACTCTTAATCACTTTCTGTATTGTTTTTTGAATCTCGTGATATACAGTGGGGGCATTATGCATAAGTATATACCCAAATAAGAAAAATATTGGAAGTAGAATTTGCCTTTCAATACAACAAACTAATTTAATTGGAATAGCGCTCTTATTTCTATTGAGACATGCCTATTGGGTTTTAATATTTGGAAGCTTGTAACTATGGACTAGTTACTTTGGTATACAAGGTAATATTATTAGAGGGGTTGTCTGTTTTTTACATTTGGAGTCTATTTCATATGTTGTCATTTATATTCAGAGAGAACTTGTTTGTTGAATCAGTGTTAAAATTGAAAAATACATATTGGTAATATTACGTATTCATGTTTATAGCTACTTTTTAACCTTTGTAGATCATACTGCCTTGCTGTGGAGCATAGAAACAGGAAAGTGCCTTGTCAAGTACGTAGGGCATGTTGGATCAGGTAAGATAAGGGCATTTTGCAAAAACAGGAAATGGAATGCATATGGGAGGGGGGAAAATGTGTTTTAGACAACCACAACAATGTTTTTATAGTAGTATTACTTGAAGGCTTGCCAACATTATTAACAAGTAAATTGTAAAAGTTCCATTAATCTTCATACGGAGGAAGGTTTTATAGTGTGATTTTTTTTTTTTTTAAGAGAGAGATTATTAAGACAGTTCCATAAATGTTGAGTGAATAAACAACATTTAAATAAAATTTTCAGGCACAGTTAAGGCACTTAGTTAAATGTTAGAATTCATTGGGCTTTTCATGCATGTGCAAAATGAGAGTGCCTTATGTAATCAGAGACTGTTTATTTCACAGGATCTGTGTTTTATGTGAGCTGTAAGATACAGTTGCTGGATCACCATCTCTTTGCTCTTCGTTGTTCAATATGTGATCCCATGGGTAACTTACTGCATAGGATTAAAATCTTGCTTTGAAGACAGTTAATTCCATATAAGTATCTGTCTTTTTCTATGCAGTATAAATATTTCCGAAAAATGAACTTAAAACCACTCTGTGGATGGAGAGCTGCAGTACAATACATGCTTTTGCTGTTAATCTTTACTTTTGGTGCAAAATTTGACAAGCACCTGTTACTTTACACATTACGAGATAGAAGGGGAGATATAGTGCATATCAATCTTTTATAGATTGAAAAGAGGTTTTTCATAGTTCTTACTTGCTGCTGGGAGCTGAGTGCTTTGACAGATCATACCCTGAGGTATTGAGTCTTGCACCCAGAAAATGAGGAACAGTCATTGACCTGAAATGTTTGGTGAAGTAATTCACTACATCTCATGAACTTTGCAGCAAAGATACCAGTGGAATTAAGCTCTCCAGAGAGTGGCAGCTGCTTGACCCATCAGTTGTACTTTCTTTTTCTCCTGTATGACTTTTAGCTCCTGAAACACAAATATGGTAATGCCCTGTGGAGAGGTGCATAGGAACATCAGTTACCATTTTAATTTATGCTTTTTAATCTGATGGCATTCAGATATCTCAGGTCTGCTGCTATATGGTAAAGGAAATATTAGTCTCCATAAGTCATATTTGAAAGCTTCAGCTCCTTGCATTTACTTTTTTGTTTGTTTTTAACCGCTATTTGGGAAACCACAACAAGAATAAGAGACTCTAAACTGTATTTAAACAGTGATGTATAAACTAAGTAAAAATAAAAATAAAAAATTCAGTTCATACATTTTCCGTTTAGTAAAGCTGTGTTTACTTGATGATGTTTGACAGCTGGTTAAAATGCAGCAAAGATGTTGGGTACCAGCAACTGTTACACTGCTGAGTTAGTTCAGTGTGAAAAAATTGAGTATCTTTTGAGCTTACTACTAAATACTAGCATTCTTTTGAGAACATAGGCATCTATAATACTTGTATGATGAATGGAAATGATTTTTAAGTTCTGTCTTGAGGAACTGTAGAAGAGAAGGCTATGGATTTTTGCAGACCAAAATACTTAGTGAAGAAAAGTAATTGAATGTTAATTTGTTGAAATAAAAAATGAAAAGGAGCTTTTTAGGCTGGTAGAATTCTTGCAGGATTCAATCCTAAAACAGTCATATTCCAAGTACTTGTAACTTTGGGACTGAAACTTAGTTTGTATTATTTGCATTAGGTTTTCAGGCATTTGTTCTTGCAATTTTTAGCCATAATCAGGGAGTCAATGTTCCTACATAGTAGGCTTTCATTGTGTTATAAATATTTATGAGTACCTAATACTCTGGACATCCATAAATAGAACTTCTCCTCTGCAAGCTTATACATGATAACTTGAATGTAGGCTTTTTCATCCTTCAAAATGTACAGTATTTGTGCTAGATTCCTGAAATAGCTTACTATAAAATGTATATTGTGGTGTCTATCATTAACTGTGCCTCTTTTCCTTAACTTTACATAGGTTTATTTACTCCAATAGCATTATGACTTCTCTCATTTAAGTGATTGCTATCCTACAAAAAATTGCTTAAGACTTTCTGATTTCTCAGTGCTTTTAATGATAAATCATTGTGAAATATTTTTTTAATGTTACTTGCTTAAAACTTTACTTTGTTTTACACAGTAAATTCCATAAAGTTTCATCCAACTGAGCAAGTGGCTCTTACAGGTATGTAAATTTTTTCACATGCTATGTTAATCGTAAATGGAAAAATAAGCATGTCATTCACTAACGTCTTTTTGGTGTTGCAGCCCCTCCCTTGGCAATATCATCACTGATGAAATAATCTACGTATTTTAAGGCATAAGTAACGAGAGGTAGATCTTCCCCTCTATATTTAACGTATCGTCATTTGTACTCACCTTTTTTGAAAGAGTCACTTGGAATCATATGTTTAACACTTTGAAATATACATATAAAAGTTTTCCGGAAGTAAAGGAAAAAGCATATTTGATACTGGATATGCAGAAAAAGCAACTCAGAAGTATTAGTGTAACTGCATTCTCAAGGTTGAGAATATTTTCAGTACAGCTTTGGGTTTAAAAACTGTCTAATGTGGTTAATAGTAGGGTTCGTACTGTCCGGCAGTTAGGGCACTAGCTCTGGGGCTAAAGAGACCTGAATTCAATTCGCTGCTACTGGGTAAGTCATTGTAAAATGAGGGTAATTATTATTGGGGTTAGAAATTAAAACACTGCTATTATGACTTCCTTTTGCATCTGCAGTGACTACTCCCCAGGAAGCTAGGAAGTAGAATGCTTTCTGGCAGTTCAGCTAGCAATGATTTAAGTAAGGCTAGTTAGATTTTTCCTGTTTTCTGATGGTAACTGTAGTCAATGTTGCAGTTCCATAAACGATATTCCTATATAAAACTGACCTTTTCTTCACTCAAAAGCTTGAAACCACCCGTAGCTAAACTTTTGTTCTGTGATTTTGCCAAGAGGTAGGTTCTTCAAAATATTTGCACTGAAGGTTTTCAGAGGACCTGCTTTTTTCAGTGTTACTTGATAGGCTTATGGCTACTTCAAAATAAACAGCCCTCCACTCTGCTCCCAGAGTACTGACATCAGAAATCATAAAAGACTGATAACCTTTCTTCCACCCTTCTTCCTCCGTCTATTAGTTAAGAAGTTTTTCCAAATGTTTTCGTGTGTTTTGCACTTGCCAAATCTGCAGACCCATAATACCTGTTTTTTTTCCTTAATCTGGAACCCTCAACACTGTATATTTAAGTAGTAGCAGCATGTTTGATTGGTATGCAGCAAAGAGAAGCTTGGGTTTCTCATTATGTAATAATGGATAAGTATCTTTTAGCAACAGAAGGTCTAAAATCAGATGGTGCCTGCAGAGCTGATAACTGTTGCTGCATAAGATGAGTTACTTGAGGTGGAAGCAGCGTAGCTTCACTCTTGCTGTTTTGGATTTCTCATTAAATCCACACTAAAACATTTGATAGAAGAAATCATTGAATGAAGAGGAAATCCAGTATTTTAGGAAAAAGCAAACAAAGGATGCTAATATATTAAACGTCTTCTTCGAATGTTATCTATTAGAATACTACTGATGTTTGTGTTCTGAGGTGCACTGTTTCAGTGGATAATTTCACTGTAGGAATGATTAATTTGGCACCTACTTAGCAGTTTGCGTATTGAATTATGTTCTTATGTGTTGAAGCCAGGGAAGTAACCATTTCATGGGCACTGAGACTTGCTTACCAAAAAGGTCATGTAGCAGTAACTGTTAGAAAAAGATGTGATCTCAGACGTTATTGCCAAATATGTAACATGAAACTTGTTTTTATTGTTTGTGGCAACGCTCATATTTAGTCAGTCTCTCTCTCTCTCTCTCTTTCTCTCTCTCTGTTTCTCTCTCTCTCTCTCTCTCTCTTTCTTTTTCCTCTGTAGCATCTGGAGACCAGACAGCTCACATCTGGAGATACATCGTACAGTTGCCTACACCTCAGCCAACTGCAGACTGCAATGTAAGCAATCAACTTATTGAGACTAAACTAATTGCATAGCAATTTCATCAGATATGGGTGTTATAAGACTGAATGTTGAATTTCTACATAATTAAAAAATTACATGATTTCAGGATTGCAAAGGTGGGATATTAAGGTTTTAGGTGAACAGATATGTTTTGGTGTCTTTCTTTCAAAGAAGATTCCTTTCACGTTTCTAAGAGCTGTGGTGCAGAACAGAGTCTGGAAGTGCATTAATTGACTCTTTTGTTCAAGCTAATAAATGTTTAAGTAAATGAAGTGGCAAGTGCAATTTGTTTATAATAATCCAAATCATAAAGAATAATGAAGTTCTTTTTAAACTACTTAAATTCTGGTAGTTTAACTTCTGAGGCACATATGTTGTTTATAGTTGCCATGAATTGAAAACTGATCGTAAAGATTCACACTTGTGTTATCTGCTTAATTATGTCACTAAGTTTGATTTCTAATTTACCCTCACCAGTCATCCTCATACTATCTGTCATTGTTGTCCCTAGATAATTCTTCAGTCAGTGTTTACTATAGACTGTCACATCCTGTATTTGACTTAAAAATTACTTGCGCTAAATTGTGAAGACTAAAGTAGCTTATAGTTTGAGCTTCTCAGCAAGCTGAGGCTCGGCTGTATAATATGAGATATATAGTTAGACTCTTGAATTGAAAATGTTTGATTCAGATGATTTGATTCAGCATTTCTATATTGAAAGAGTAGTACAAACGTTACCTTTTTCGCAATACAGCATGGCAAAAAACAAGTGTATTTGTCGTGCATTAGTGAAGTAGAGCTTAGAGGTTGATACTTCCTGGTGTAGGAAAATAATTTATCTTGCATTCAGTTTACTTGCTGTCAGGCATTGCTGATGTTTTGACCACCAGACAAATCTTGATGTCATGATCTTTGATTCTAAAGGATGAAATATGGCTGTAAAAGATTGTCTTCTCAAAGAGTCAAAACGTTCAGCAGCACGTTAGACATGCACTGCCTTTAAAAATTTAAAGGGAAGTAGTGATCTCTATGTATGTAGTGGAATGAAACTCAAGAGTGATGCGGTGTGGGGAATATAAAAAGACTAGCCAGACAGTTGATGGGATCATATGGGTAAGTGACTTAATGTAGTCGAAATGAGTCTTTCATTTTAAAAACTCTTCCAAACTTTTTAGCTCTGACATAACTGTCCTCTCTTTGATAGCATTTGATAGTGGATACCTAAAGAGGTTACATTCTATAGAATTACATTACCTAGATTTACCTGAAGAGGATGGGAAAGTACTGTAAAGTGTAACTTATACACACTCCTTTTCATTTATTAATACTTTTTCTCTTTCATTTTGCAGCAAATGTCTGGAGAAGATGAAGTTGAGTTCTCGGATAAAGATGAACCTGATGGAGATGGAGACGGTTCTAGCGATTGTCCCACTATCAGAGTCCCGCTAACTTCACTCAAAAGCCATCAAGGAGTGGTCATAGCAGCAGACTGGCTTGTTGGGGGAAAGCAAGCTGTGACAGCTTCGTGGGATAGGACAGCAAATCTGTATGATGTGGAGACCTCCGAACTCGTCCATTCTCTAACAGGTATCTCTTCACTCAACAAAAGGAAAAATTGCTGATATATTTTACATGGGGGATTACTTGTTGAACATTGGGAAAAGTAAGTTGTTTCTCTGGAGTAAGAAGGGGGTGTGCATGAGACTTAAACTGCTGCTCAGTGATGTGGTGTTTTCTAAAATCCCAAACTTGGAAATGCTCTGAGCATGCTTTTTTACTCTTCTGAGCGTGCAATGTATCAAATGCTTTTTGCCTTTACTGTATTGATGATATATTAAGTAGCAATAAATTACAGCCCCTTAATAATGTGAAATGAGTAATAGCTTATTTTGCTTTTAAATATGATTCTCAACTTGTGTGACAGCAGTAATGTTAGAATTCAGAATGATTATTCTTTTACTGTTTGGTGGGGGAGGGGGGAACCCCCTCCCCTCCCCCCCCCCACCAAAACTTGTGTTATCAGCATTTCATTCCAAATGTGTGTGGAAATGAAAAGTCTTATTTTCATTACCTTATATGTTTTCATCTGTGGTTGTAGGGCATGACCAAGAGCTAACACATTGTTGTACACATCCCACCCAGCGTCTTGTGGTGACATCATCACGTGATACAACCTTTCGTCTGTGGGATTTCCGAGATCCTTCTATCCATTCTGTGAATGTCTTTCAGGGCCACACAGAGTAAGTGACAGTTGTTTCATAGTTTTTTTTTTTTTAAAGTTTCGAAAGTATAAATGTATTCAGTTGCTAATCTGAACAAAACTGTTCCTGTGCTCTTTTTGAGGTACTAAGTTCATTCCCCTGTTTTATGAGACTGATTTTCACAGAAACCCCTAACTGTCCTCCTTCAAATGTAATACAACAGTAATTAATTTCCAAAACAGCAGCCAGGGCTCTTGGTGTGATGTTGCTTATATGGTAAGTCTAGATAAAACTCCTTACAATAAAATTTTAAGGTAAACGGGTTGTTTTCTACCATTGCTTATGTCCGTAGCTTAGGGGTATTGCTGTAATGAAGTTGATGAAACAGATTTTCTTTATTTGTCATAATGTTCAGTGTGAAAGGTTACTTTTTTGGAAGCAGAAGAACCAAAATCAATATTAATTTTTATTCTTTAAGTTAGAGTTTCTAATTTGTACAAAAAAAATAAAGTAAGGGCACTGATCAATACTTTCTATCAAAACAAGGATCTCTTTGATGTAACGCTTTTGGTTACTAATTTAGACTTTCAGATGTTATACTGGCTGCTGTTGAGAATAGACAAACATAGTCATGAGAATCCATTATCTGGTGTTGAGTTACCTTTTTGTTAATCACAGCTCAGATAGATGGAGAATGCAGGAATAACTTTGAAAAACATTACCCAAGGAAGTTCCTCTCTTTTAAGGTTTTGGAAGTTTGAACTTGACTTTTCAGGAAACTAAATTTCATCTTCTGAATAAAAGGTGATTGTGAGTGCTAGTTCAAAACAAAAAACCCCAAACATTTATTTACATTTCCATTTTGTGTTAATTTGAATGTATGGTTTGCATTACGACCAAGTTTCAGTATCCACTTTATTATTTTCCCAGCTATTGGATGTAAATCTGAATTAAAACCTCTTCTAAAAACAAAACAAAAAAATTCCTCCTCCTGCTAAGACTGTCCAACCAGATAAATATTTGATACATGGCAATCATTCTATATAAATAGCTATCTTCTCCTGATAGAAGAGTAGGCTTAATTTTATGGTCTCTGTCCTAGAATTGTTTCTTGTTATCTTCCTGCTGTTTCTGTCTCCTCTTCTAGAAGGACTTGGAAAAGGTGGGAGTTTCTGTGTCTGGTGCTTGCATTTTTTTTTTTTTTTCCCCACGTCCTAACTCGTTGCTTTGTCCTGGAACAGGAAAAAGGAACATGACTGACATTAGTGTTTTTCCGTATATATGCTGAGATCAAATGACATTGATCTGAGGTGATGGTGCCTATCATAAGGGATGCTAGCTGGTATTTCAGGGTCTATCACTGAGATCTATAAATGGTCCAGGAGTTTATTTTTTATGGAAGAGACTTTAAGCAACCTTCTAGATCACTTCTACTCCAGTTTTTAACTGTCTTCGTGTTTACATTTGTCAGCTTTATCTTTTGTCTTCGTTTGTCTGTTTGAATGCTCTTAGTTCTTAGCATTGGAATAGGCTCTTTCACCAACGGACTGCTATTAACCTATAAGATTGTTCAGCTCATTATTTTACTGAAGAGGTGATTCTGTCATGGAAGGTGGTTTTTTTTTTTTTTTTAACTGATTCTGTCATGGAAGGTGTTTTTTTTTTTTTTTTTTTACTGAAAAATACAGTCACAGCGGAGATTGGAGATGACACGTACTATGAAGTATTTTATTTTTGGTCTTATTGGCAAAATATATTTTTAAATAACTCAGTTTAACAATCTTCTCACATTAAGCAGCAAAAAATAAACTATTTCAGCTGTTCACTGGAAAACATATAGTGCAGAGCTCAGTGGTGGAGAATTGACGATAAACCCCTATAGCACTGTTGAGAGAGGTATTTACCTTTTTAGGTTCACTACCTAAGGCACAGCTGCACCCTTTTGATGTTGTCTGTTAAAGCGTCTTCTGTTTCAGGTTGAACTAATTCTATTTTTGGAAGTAAAACTTAAGGCAAGGCAAATGATCTAAGAAATCTGTATTTTTGGATAGTAAGCAGGAGGCCTCACTCTTGCTTGCTTCCTTTGTCCCCTCTTATAGCTGATACTTTCTGATTCATCAAAACTTTTTTTTTTTTTTTTGCTTTCTTGAATGTCTGTTGAAATAATCTCCCAACTTTTTAATATTTTGATAAGCTCTTGAAACCAGTTCTGTAAATTCAGCCTTATGATCATTAACCCTAATGATTTAAAATTGTTAACCCTGAATTTTAACAGCTTCCTGCCAAATAGTAGCTGATGAATAGCTATCTAGAATTGCTGGTTTTTTCCTGTGTATTTCATCCAGATCAACTGCTAACCAGTATAACTAGACACCACTCACTTCAGTAATGAGTCCAACATAGAGTATTCGTTGCACTGTGGCCCCAAGAATCTTATATTTCTTCTTATAACAGTTCTACCTGAGCATGTCTTCCTGACTGTCGTCGCACTGATACAGAGTGTATGGTTTTAAAAGTTGAGATGAAAGCTGAAAGGTGACATGCAAGGCTTTACAAAGTGATGTATACAAAGACGTAGTGTGGATGATGCAGATTGATTCAAGTACCAAGAGTGAGAGAATTTTATTGTAAAAGACTAAATTTTGCTATTTTTTCACCCGCAGTTAGACTGATGGTCCTTTTTGTTCAGGTCGTGATTCAAACCGTCATTGAGATCTAACAGGATATGGCTCAGAATTTTGTTTCCTTCCTTTGTGTCCTGTTTGACTCTGCGTAGCGCTCGCTTGTCTCTAGAATGGTGTAAAACTTCTTTTGGGGGCGAGCGCTCCTCAGCGCACAAAGACTGAAATGCGAGACTGAAGAGGAAAATCAGTTTTTTCTAAATAATATTCAGTGGCATACGATCACACAGCCATAATTATGGTGAAGGAGCCTGTTAAGTTTTACCTGAATGCAGATGTAAGAACCAATCCAGCAGATGGCACCAGAGCTCTGCTGGTGGCTAAAACTTTGCACTAGGCATGTGATTCTTAGTACCAAGAACAATTTTTAGGTTTTGAAATGTGAGGGAGGAAAGCAAGACTTTAAACCTGCTCATAAGCCTCAGTTTTTGTTCACTGCAGTATTATGTTTTGTATCTGTTTGCATCCTGAAGACAAATTGGATGGTGTAATTTCAACTACTTTTTCAGTATCTTTAATGAGTTAAATTTAAGATTTAGTCAAAATAGCAGAATACCTTATGAAAATATAATACAATGATGCTGACGTATTGAGAGATTAAGATATCTTGTTATATACACAGTATGATTTTATAAATTTAATTGACTTCCAAAAATTGAAAGCAATTCCTCTGCATTGCTGTGTACCGTGAAGGGATACTCTGTCGAAATATGTGTATATGCTAGCTATGAGAGATTATTTGTATTTTATGTAAATGGACTAAGAAATCACCTCTGAGCACATCAAAGCTTTCTTTATTAAAAGCAGACCATTTCATGTAGTCCAGTCACATGACAATTGTGGCCTAGTCCAAGAAAAAAACCATCCTGCAGTAAGGCCAGAAGGGATCTGTATGGTCGGCATGCGTCTTGAATTAATGCCTATTTTGAATTACAAGATAATTTTTGTAGAGTTGGGGCTTGTATATTAGGTTCTTCCAGTGATGAGGAATTCAACATAGCCCTTGGTAAATCCTAAAAGTTGCTCATCCTGATGGTTAGCTAACTTCCCCATTAAACCTTCTGTGCCTCCCTGCTCTGAGTCTGCCTGGCTTCAAATTCTAGGCACTTGATTTTATTTTACCTTTTTATTATACTGAATATCTTTGTTTCCTGTGTAAATAGAGACTTAGATTATGATGAAATCTCTCTCTCTCTCTTTTTTTTTTTTTTTTAAATACCCTACATATTAGCTTTTTTTAATTCCTTACAAATTAGCTACTTTTTTTTCCTTCAAAAAAAAGTAACCTGTTTTGCCTCAAAGTGTGTTTTACAATATGTTTGGACATTTATACATTGAAAGATGATTTTAGTACGTTAGTAGTACTTTTGCACTTGGAGCCTGTGTTGAGCTGAATCTCCAATATGAATTCAAGTCTTTTGAAGTTGTGTCTTCCTAGGGCCTTTTCTAAATCTGTAAGCACTGCTTGTTTTCTTTTTTCTGATAAATGTTTGTTTCAATTCAGTAGATGTGTGACTTGCCTGTGTCTTCCTTGCATAGTGATAAAAATATCACATGTCCTTTTAGATTTGTCGTGCCCCCAGTTCATGTCTCACTAATTATTGCAGGCTGATTAAAAAATAATGAATGGTGTAGGAATACGACCTGATTTTTATCTTTGTTATTGTCTGACTGTGGGGGGTGGATGCCCCAAGGAATTTACGTTCCTTTTGTTGTCAAGCCCCAACCACATGTCTCATAACAGAGACATTTAACAGAGCACTGGCAAAAGGTTATGTTTATATTGTTATCCAGGCACAGACTGGTTGCACTTTAAGGGAATAGTTCCCATGTTGGAGAACAGACATTGACAGACGTCTTGCAGAAAAAACTCATCAAGCTATATATGCTTCTTCAAGTATGCCGCGTGTGCTGAGGTCTACCTTGATGTGTGCAGCCTTCTAAAGTGTTTGCATTAGAAGTCTTTACCATTTGTAGCCTAAAAAAATCTTTGTCTGTGCAGGTCCACTGAAGTACCCTGCATGTTTTCTACTTTTGTTCTGACAGTTCTGTAAGACGGGAAATAAATGAGTACCCTATTGGCAACGGGGTGCTTATTAGCTAATGGACATATATACCTCTTCTGAATCATATGTTGCTTTTGATAAATGTTTGTAGTATGTTTAGATGTAGAGCTTAAATGCAGCTAAAGAGTTATCTGATGCATATTGAAATATTTTTCTTTTTTTTCAGTGAAGGTCAAATGTACACAGTGTTTGGGCCCGTATCATCCCTTGAAATGCTTGAATAAAAACAAATTCCAAGTCTCTACTTGCAAATGCCATCCTTCAGAGAGTAAAATGTTGTCTTCCAAAGCAG